ATATGTATACATTGCTTTGATGAGGTTGTATTTTGTACTTTTGAGAACAATAGTAATAATAATAATAATCTTACAAAAACAATAACCATTTTCCCGCCAAGATGAACGCCATCTTGGAAATTGGCATTATAATCATTTCAATCAAGTTTGACAGTAAAGAGTAATTAGTTAACTAAGTTTATTGTCAATTTTCACATTTATAGCAAAACCAGAAGTGACTAAAATGTGTTTTATTTTATTGTTGTATGTATATCATTGTTTTAAAATTGCTCTTTTAACAATAAATTGATTTTACATTTTAAAAACGTTTTTACAGCCAAAATGGCCACCATCTTGGAATTTTTAAAGAGATTGAAGAGCAACTATTTAGCCAACTTCTTGCTACATTTGATATACATAGCATATGTAAAAGTGACTAAGAACATACATTTATTTCCCCTACCCCATCTTAATTAATCCAAAATAGGATATTTTATGTCAAAATTTCGAAGTGCTATGAAAATAATTTCCCAAGCTCTAAGAATGGGGATTTTTTTTTCTTAAAAACTATATGATATATTGATTCAGAAAAACCAAAAATAAAATTTCCTTTACTTTTTTCCCGCTAATTTCCTACTGCACCCAGGCTAGTGTTCAACGAGGTCGCGATTCTCAGCTGAATATAATCCGTAATAACGAATTAGTTAATTCGTAATTACGGATTACTAATCCGTAATAACGAATTAGTTAATTCGTTATTACAGATTAATAATTCGTAATTACGAATTATTAATCCGTTATTACGAATTAGTAATAATAATAATAATTTCGTAATTTCCGTTATTACGGATTACGGAACATATACTTTATTGGCATTAATGGGCTTTCATAGTTTAATAAAGAAAGCAAATACATTTTGTATTGTCAGCATTTCCCTATTCATTTCTGGCGTCATTCTATAACATTTCTTTTTTGTCGATTGTTTAGCAATGGGTTTATTTTTTCTGTGGCAAACGCCTTCTTACACAACATGATATACCATTTTGGAAACTTATTATATTCGAAAATATAAAAATTTAATATATGATGACACTATTTAATATCCTGGAGTTATAAAGTGTGAATTACGTAAGTGCTTTACACAAGAAAACTGATAGAACCCAGAAGAGGCTAACCCTTCTCACAGTTTCGTAAACAACATATACCGGTAATCGAACAAAACATATAAAAAAAAAAACATTTTATGCTAAAGTCTGGTTATTAAGTATCTATCTGTCTTATATGATAAACTATGCAACATGGGCATTTAAAATGATAAATGAAAGAACCGTTATACTCTTTTTTGAGTTTTTGATCACTAGTATATTAAAATGATAAAAAAAACCCCTTTATTATTAATATAAACTATAGGCCTACACGATACAATGTATGATGATCTACTGATTAAAAAACGTTCTAAAAGACAAATCGGCGTCGGGGATATACCGTTGTTTTCGCGTGAATTGAGCAGAAAGTGGGAATACTTTCTGTCGGTGATTTTGTACAATTAGTAGGGCAGCTTAGGGCCATATTTGGACTTAATGTGGACGTTCCGGACAAAAGCACCAATTTTTTTTACATGCTACTTATGGTCATAGCATTCAATTTTTGGTAGGAACCACCTCATCCGAGGTCATTATGGCGGCCATCTTGGATTTCAAAATGGCCGCCTAATAAAACCTATGTTTATCTATATCTCCGCTTCTAAACCACTTGGAATTATAATTCTAATGTCTAAGAGTATGTTTATATGATCGAGGAATACCATCATATCATTTTTGACCTGGTCAGATTGCCACAAATGGGTCATGTAAGGTCATTCAAGGTCAGATATTGTATGGTATCTTTAAAATTACGTAATTGTCAAATTTTACATTAGAATCATACCCAGGCTCTCAGAATTCAAACTTTTTACTATAAACTACAATATTTCATTCGAGGTCATTCTGGCAGCCATCTTAAATTTCAAAATGGCTGCCACGCAAAACCTATATTTATCAATATATCGGCTTTTAAACAACTTCCAATAAGAATTATGATGTCTAAAAATATATTTTCATGGTCAAGGATTTATAGCACTTGTGACATGGTCAGATGGTCATTTAAAGTCATTCAATTTCATTTCTGTGTTAAATACGTAGAAAATCTTAATAGTTTGTAAGTGGTCGTGTTTTACAGCAAAATCATACATAAGCTCACAAAATTTCTGACCAGGTAAAAAATTGTAATGGTATGGTATATACATTGAATGACCTTAAATGACCTTTTATGGCATTAATGACGATCTGACCATGTCACAAGTGTTATAAATCCTTGACCATGAAATATAATTTTAGATGTCATAGGCCTAATTCTCATTAAAATGGTTTAAAAACCCATATATTGATAAATATAGGATTTGCGTGGCAACAATTTTAAAATTCAAGATGAAATATTGTAGTTCATTGTAAAGATTTTGAACTCTGAGAGTCTGGGTATGGTTCTAATGTAAAATATGACAATATTCTTTCCTTGTGTTTCAGCTAGAGGGCTGAAATACAAGTTACATAGCACACCGTCTTTCGGATGAGACTTTAAGCTGTTGGTCCTGTGTGCATTTATGGCCCATGTGCACGTTAAAGAACACAGTACACTCTTCGGAAGAGTAGGGGATTGTCTCCTGGTGTACTGTCCAATCACCATCAGAAGGACCCCGCTGGAAATAAGTCTTCTTCTAGACTTTATGGGCTATCCTTGGTGTTTACACCGAATAAATCCATTACCGTATTGTTTGAGTGATTATGTAGCATACCTTAATAATTATCGTAAAAATGAAAGTACAATTCACATGCGGCTATCTTTCTTAATTTTATTAAATCATAGGCGTACTTCTACTAATAATGTACTTAACAATCCACGATCTATCCGTGTATCATACATTTTAAATTCAAGATAAAAAAAATATTTAGGGCTTATAAAAAATATTTATACACACACCGAAGCATGCAAGGATCCCAAAGAAGATGAAAAAAACCCCATTACATTATTAAATTACAGCAACTTTATACTCATGAGATTGTGGATTTTTAGGCAAGCGAATTTTGAAGTAAGCCTATTGTTGAATAATCTTTATATCAAAGATTTTTACATAATTTACGTTTTCCATAATATTTTAAATTATAGTAATTGATAACGTAATAATGCTAAACAAAATGAGGGTTTACATATATTCAAACTGTATAATAATGAATGCAATGCAGTTTACACTACTGTCGTAAACAGACCTTAGAGAAAACATGAATTCAAAGCATTCTGGGAAAAACAATTAAAACTCATCAACCTTACATAAGCATAACAAATACGTCATCCATCTTATTTATTTTTTGTGCTTATTCCCATTCACGTCTTTGAGCATAACTGATATACAATAGTCATCCAGAAGAAAACATGTTTTAATATTTGTACAAACGAGTATTCTGAAGACACTGTAGGTGTGTTTATGGTTTTTATAATTACAGTACTTACCAATTCAGAGCGAGTAACCTATGACGATGATACTGTACTAAATTTAAAAAATCTTTTTTTACTTGTGAAATTTGAAGGTACTACATCATGTCAAAACATCTATCACTGTAATTTAAGATCGTAATTTAAGTGCTGTGCACTTAATTCGCCCATTTGTTGTTAAAGAATGTGGACTGGATTTTGTACCAAAAACTGACATAATTTGAATTTGTAGGATAACATAAAAACAACCTTCCTAAATAATTTAAGGAAAATACATACTACATACAGCATAGAAGAAATCACCACTTTAAAAGCTTGAAGACTGTTCCAACAGTTAAAAGTCAACACTGTATTGCACATTATAATTTTTTTCTGTCCACTTATTCCGGGAAATAATGTGTATAACCATTAACCACAGACGTACAGTATACAATCAAATAAGGATATAATCAGACACTTTTCAATTTAACATAAGTGGACTATAGATGTGATATCATGTGAAGTCCTTGGTGCATGAACCTAGGACTGCCAATAGCACTGTTCTACATGTAGGTGACGATCTCTTTCACAAGACAAACACACTATATGCATTATAACTAAAAATCTCAATATTAGTGGTTTATTCGTCAGAAAAAAATCCTACAAAACTGACAAGAGTTGAGCCCAGAACCCTTGGACTGAAAGGCAAGCATGTTAACCACCAAGCTATTCAACTCCACTCAATGTGCCCCAAACTAAACCCATTATTCAACACAAGTGCTGTTGTCATGATAACACATATCGTCATTTTACTTCATCTAACTCTTTAACCTCTTATAAACAGCCTTTATAAAAGTGTATTTTTTTAAATTTTCAAACTGATTTCATAATTTTACATCATTTACATACAGAAAACATCAAACACAGTATGGTTCATACAGTACTGATTCAAAATGCGTTATTGATATACGCAGGGGATGTCCAAGTAAAGATTTGCACACTAACACTTTACACAGAAATAGGTTACACTTAGGCAATCACTTGAAGCATGTGCAACATATTTCTTTTTAACAACTGCAGTACAAATGATGTTTTTCAAGCACTAGATCTCTTTTCAGAAACACCATGAGAGGCATACAAATTCAAACTTATTTGAGTTATTTGATCTATTTCACATTTACACACACAAATGATATAAGACCCCTATAGGAAGGAGAATCTAAAAACTATGAATTTTAAAATCATTTTGATGAGAGTAATTAACAAAGAGGGGACTTGGGGACAGACTGCTCTGAACTCTTGTCTATTTATATCCCTCTACATATTTCCATAGAGTATATTTGAACACTATTAACACCATCTTTAGGTTAAAGTGCTTGCTTAGCAACCAGTGTTTTCCAGCTAGCAAACTAGCAACAATACCATAATGCTGACTGCTTATTGTGATTATTGGTGAGAGTTATTCAGGTCATCACCCAAATATTCCTAACAATACACTCAACTGCCTCACATTAATTTGAATATTGATCATTTATCTCTATATAATATAATATTACTTTAAAGTGTTTTATACTCATTCACAATTGATAGCATCATAAATAAATGTTTCTTAACAGAGTGTCTCTCCCATACCTTTGAATTACTGTACAACATATTCTAATTTTATATAAAAATAATATTATTTATTTTCATAATCTTTATATTTCTGTATACTTGATTGAAAAAAAAATTATTCTAATGATATGCTAATAATATTTAAATAATTATCTTTAAGCACCCTTCATCTGCATACTATTAACATAGTGTATATTAATGTGGAACACAAAGCTTTAACACATTCGTTTCTTTAAGATATACAGCAAGTATTATCTTCTTCAAAAAAAAAGCAATTACAATATCATCTGTCTGTTAATTCATACCAATGTGAAATATATATAAAAACACATAATGAAGAAAAGAAATCCGTTCAGTACTTCATTATGTCACATTCCAAATTTTGCCTTAAAAATCTACTAATTAAGTAGATATTCTTTATTACACCCACAGCAAAAAAAAATAGAATACAAACACAATATCAATAATATTTATGTACAAAGATTTTTCAATATTAACATATTTTAACTCTACATAGATTTTAGAATAATTCAGAGGTGGAGAGCTTATTTTAAAAGGTGGTTAAAATTAAGTTGTTTGCAAGATTATGAGATAATTCAACCTGAAAAGTATACTTTCATATATTACAAGAAACTAAATCATATATTATATGAATTAAGCTTTAAACACTCACTGACACAATACACTGCATACGATGCTAGATGTAAGGACGACAAAGAAATAAGACTTAGAAAATTCCCTCTTACTCCTACCCACTTTTGCTGTTAAAAACTATTATTAACATTGGTGGTCATACAGTAAAGTAAATTTGTGCCAATATGATGCAATTATCTCAGTACATTGATATTTCAGTCACAACTTCTATTGATAAATAAATTCAATTAAACAACAAAATGTGATGTAGCAACATATCAATGATTATGTGTCACAGTTTATCACACCTGAGTTCAAACAAAATGCTTAAAAATACAATATCATACATAATTGTTGGTAGGCTACATATTCATAAATAATGTTCTGGTTTAGGACTTCATTGCTAACCCTTCCCTAACATACAATTTTTCCTGAGAAGCATCAATGGTGTTTTTTTTTTTTTGGCATAAAATAGTTTTAAAAAAAGTATATGGAGGGAGGAATTTTCAATGATACTAATATTTTTTTCATATGCAAAAAAAAATCAAATAATAGAAAATTAATGGGAATAAAATTAATAAAATCAGTTGTACTGAATGAAAGTAGAAATGCTGGGGAATCACATTACCATTACATGCAATGCCACTTCTTAAACAAAATAACATCACACTGTCTATCTATCATTCAGTACACAGAATTTGCACACAATTTTTGGGAGGCATATTTAACACTTTAGCACACTGTGGGTTTTTCGAGATCAACAACACACATAAACTACTGCTTCTGATCCAAATTCTAAAAGGTCATCATCTGAAGGCATCTCTGGCACCAGACATCTCCAAGATCAACAACACACATCATCTACAGTACTGTTACATCACCCTATTTCTTTGCTTCTGTTCCAGATTCTCGAAAGTCATCATCTGGAGGGCACCATATATCTCAAAGATCAACCACAAACAGCAACTACTGTTACATCACCTTATTTCTTTGCCGCTGTTCCAGATTCTCAAAAGCCATCATCTGGAGGTACCTCTGGCACCATACACCTCAAAGTTCAACAAAACACACCAACTACTGTTACATCACTCTATTTCTTTGCTTCAGTTCCTGGTTCAAGGAGGTCATCATCTGAAGGTATCTCTGGAACCGGATTTCTCCAAAACGTGTACGAGCTGTAGTTGGAGGATTCCTCAAACGCGACTGATTTGCGTGAATTCAAAGGTGGGAACACATGATCTGACAGATCCTGCAACTTGTTGTATCTTCAAAGAAATATTAAAATGGTTAGAAATTTACTGTCCGAGTTGAAATCTTAAAAAAAAACAACCTTTAATTTAATGTCAATTAAAACACTGGATTATTTATTTAGAACAATCACTGAAGTTATTAAATGAGACATTTATTATATCTCTTTTAAGCTCTTTCACACTTTCAAATTTACTTAGACAAAAACTGTTTACTGCCCATATATAGTCATGACGTGCCCATATATAGTCATGATGTGCCCATATATAGTCATGAAGTGCCCATATAGTCATGAAGTGCCCATATATTAGTCATGATGTGCCCATATATAGTCATGAAGTACCCATATATAGTCATGATGTGCCAAGATATAGTCATGATGTGCCCATATATAGTCACGAAGTGCCCATATATAGTCATGATGTGGCATCACATCATGACAACATTTATGCATATCACATGGTGTTGTCAAATATTAACATTTTGATAGTCTTGACAGGGCTTTGCTGAGACTTTATTCTTTACATCATCTTTCATAAGGTGAACATCTTTAAAAGGAAGATATCTATTACTGTAATTATAATGTTTTGACCCAAAGAAGAGTAGCTTTAAATAAGCTAAAACATAGACTAGAATTAGTTATCAATGATGTTACACAATATGATGACTTACGATGATTTGAATGTCTTTGTCATTTCTTGAGAAACCTGTCCCTTTGGATTGATTGTGAAGATACGGCTGCATGGCACACCCACTGCCCTGTATGCCCAAACATCCTAAGAAGATACAAATGCATTATGACTTTTTGAACTTTATTGTATTCTTTTTAGCAAACATACAAAAGAAATACTGGTAACATCAATGTTCAGTGCAATGCCAGGGAGCATGAACCACTGTCATCCGTGGGAGGTGCTGCACCCAGGATAAGATTAGTATTTAACATTAAAGCTTAGATATGTCAAGGTACCATGTCAATGCACCACACCAATGCGCTATACCAATGCACCGTGCCAATGTGCCACACCAATGCGTTAAGGTACAATGTCAATGCAACACACTAATGTGCCATACCAATGCGCCACAAGCATCTCCGTCATATACAGGCACATTGTAAATATCCTTTATTATTATTTTTTCCAGTATAGAATATACATTGCTGGAATCATGCTTTCCAGGGGGAAAAAATAGAAAGGAAAAATGAACAGATAAATGAAATGTAAAATGAACAGTGACAGGGTGGTTAAAATTGGAGAAAAACTTCAGAACTTTATATGTATCCAAACTATACTGTAGTAGTAGTAGTATTAGTAGTAGCAGCAGCAGCAGTAGTAGTAACAATGGCAGCAGCAGTAACAGCATCAGTAACAGTAGCATCAGTAACAGTAGTATCAGTAGTACTTACATTAATTCTGTTTCCAAAGCCAGCATAAAAAGGATTATCTGGAAACAGACTGCATATATCTTTCAAACATCCTATCTTAAACTCCTCAGGTTTACGGACAATTACCTCCCTGCAACAAAAATCAAATCTATATCAACATCTGTCTTAAAACAATTATCTATGAAAATATAGAAGTGGAACTGACTGACCATTACTCCCATAATCATGTGTTCAATCCAGGATTTTTTTTTTCTCACATATTGAAAGGAGTTGGGGGTGGAAGCCATAGAAATCTATTCACAGACCTGGGTATACCAATATAGTATCTCTGATCATTTTAATGTAATATTGGAGTCATAAGGAATGATATTTCACTCAATCTGATATGTTATCATACTAAATACTCATTAGGTTGGGCTAAATATCTTTGCTAGCTGTTGAGTTTCCTGGTGCAAACAACCTTCAAAGTCAAAAAGAAGAAACTCACTTATGAAAAGCTGAGATTAGTGAACTAGGGTTGAGGAGGAGTGGACCATCAGGTAGGCCTATGCTGTCCTGAATAACACTTTTTAAGAAGCCTTTAGTGTAGCCTGCTTGCCCGATGGCACGAGACGATAGGAAGAGGATTTCATAGCCGTTATCGGCAATGCTACTGTACAAATTAGCAACTCCAGAATGCGTCCAATCACGGCCCAACACTGGTAGAATCTGACCCATGACATCTGACCTGTGAACCATGGACAAAATTCATTATGATAGCAAAAATAAATTAGACCATTACTGTGAGCAAAACAAAATAAATGTGCTCATTTTCTATTCTTAAAACGAACTTCGACTAGCACTACGACTAAATGACGCGAACCTCGACTAAAATGATACCTCCGCAGGCCGATTTTTTTAGTCTACCTAGGGTCAGGTTAAATCGCAGACTTGAAATATTTACCCCACTAAAAACATGTTTTTGTAACTCATGATAAAGAGAAACAAAAAAAAAACGATTGTATATGCAGTTTTGATATATCTTTGGTGTGTTAAACAAGAGATATCAAGCTTAGCTTCCAAAAGTAGAAATAAACATGTTTTGCTAGCCTCATGCGTATCTTCACCATAACAACAACAAAGATGGCGCCGTCCTCGCTCGGGCTCAACTATAATAGTTCTCCAAAGAAAGCAAATTTTCAGTGACTGTTCAAATTCTCTATCGTAATATGTTAACAACTAATATAGTTATTATTATAGAAAATTAATAACCGTAAGCAAATGATGGTCTATTATGAATTATGAGGAAATACGTTTTTGAATCACAGACGGCAGCGCTTAATATTCATCCGCGTTACCGGATCTCTAAAATTTCGTCTGCTATTAAAGTTAGCCCTTTTCATTGGTTAGTTTGATAGTCGTGGCTTGCCAGTCGTCTTCAGTTGAACTGAAACTAGGACTTAATTTATTCGTAGTTAAAACTTCGACTATGTTGTTTGTGGATACAAATTGAAGTTGAATTTGCAACGAGAACTAAATGAAATTCTAGTTCGAAGTTCGACTAAAGTTTGTTTTAAGAATACGGGCATTAGTACTCTTATAATTTTACGCCCTGGACACAGATTGCATCTACAGTACGTAATAATAAAGCTCTATTGTGAATATCATTAAAGACACCGTAACAGTTATGATCCAGTTATAGAAAAAAAATACATGAAATTGTCTGAAAAATTTATCATAAATTATATTTGTAAGTATACAGCTATCACAAATACTTACTTAGTTATTGTGCCATCTATATCAGATATAACAATCTTACTATCATGCTGCCACAGGTAGATTGTGCTCTTACATAGACACGTTCCTTGGTACCTGGTCGTTACTGAGTATGTAATTTCATTTGGTCCAGGTTTAAGGTTTAAACAAGCCTGAAATTTTAAAAAATTAAAATGTTAAAAAAGAGAAATATCTTTAAATTTCTCTGATAATTCCTATAAATATAGCAAGTGTATAATAATTAAGTTTCAAAATATAATTACTGTAAACTACATTAACATTTCATCGAAATATATAAATATTAGTTTTATAAATGCTCATTATCAATCAAAAATTTGTTTATGAGTCATGTCATGAGAGGTAGGGAAACCAATGGAATAATAAATTAATTGCCTAAGTTAATTGTTATATTACACTGAGTTACCTCTACCAGCTCTCCTGTCGGGGGCCATGTTTTTCAGAATGCAAGAATTGATGATACATGTGGGAGAGCCAGGATGTACCTTCATCCCTAGACAACATCAAGCTGTATCCAGTTGCATTGCTTGAAGAATATCCAGTGACAGTGGATCGAAACATACCATGTACAGTATGTATACTTTGCTTGGGTTTAATTTTATGAACATATCAAACACTTACTTTCATTATTAATCCTTAGTATTATTATAAATAAACAAAATACTCTCATGATATTGATCAATATTTTATTATAAACTTACTAATTGTTCATTAGTGAGACGAATTGACTTCTTGTAATGTTCACTAGATGACGAGTGTTCACTTCCTTCTTCTGCTTCCTCTTGTAACTGTGTTTCAGTCGATAATCTAACAAAATATCAACATCATTACAGCATTAGCAATAAAAAACAAAAACAATAAAAAATAATATTAATATTAAAATGATGTGGGTCTTTATACTGCATATATCAAACAACTATACTCAAAACATATTATACTCAGCTCCCTTAGGAATCTCCATAATGCTGCAGCCAGTATAGGTTGGAAGTCACCAACATTACAGTACGAACATTAGAAGCACCAACATCAACATTTTTATCATAACAATCGTTAATGTCACTATAATTTTTCAATGACCATAAGCATTATATTTATCAGCTACTACCAAAACACCACCATCATCACAATTAATACCCCTAATATGATACCACTTTTTTAAATCACCAACTAAAAATCCTGAATCTTTCCACACAAATCTAATCCTTTAATTGGAGACAGACCTCTGAGACCGCCCTACATTTCAGGTCCCAGAGATGGCCTCAAATTGGAGGGCAAACTGTATGTAAAATTAGTTATTTATTTAGGATATTTTAACGTCAACAAAATTCTGTCATACTTTCCAGATGGTTTCTCCTCTGATACCTTCTCCTCCTGTTTTATGGTTTCGTCTACACTCTCTGCCTGTTGATACAAAAACAAAACTTTCAAACTTACATAATTACATTTATAAATCATTCATATAATAAAAAGGTATTTTTTAATATCATTACCTTATTAAAACAAAGCAACAAAAGATAGAAAAAGCTGTCAATATTGTAAAAAAAATTGTTCAACAAAGGATTCCTTTGCCAGTGTGTGGCTCAAGAGGTAATTTCATGTCCAAGGAAGGAAGTGCAGAAGAGTGGGCTCTGAGGAAAAAATAAATTTCTTTGGAATGGCTTTTAAGCAAGGCTACTTACTTTCTTTGATAAGGGCTGCTCTGAACCTCGTCTCCATGAGAACCATGAGGACAATCCACCTTTCCCCTTTGCCATATGTTCTTTCATCATGCTTTCAACTTTCACCTAGTTGGAGATACAACATTGTTTATGTTCAACTGTCTTCAGAATAAATTCATAATTAATAATTGAACGATGAAAAATGGATCCTAATAATAATGGATAACGGATCCTAATAATAATTATAATATGTGGCAAAGACAAGCCAAACCAATCACTCATCACAAATCGTGTTTCATAGATAATGACCAAAACATGTCAAAATTTTTGAAATCAACTTTATTGCACTAAACTAACCTTTATATATCTATACATCATGTTCTACTTTTATTTTCCCTATTTTGTTAAAACAAGAATTTTTAACAATTTGGTGATGTAGAAAAAGCTGTCAATATTGTAAAAAAATTGTTCAACAAAGGAAGTACGGAGGGGTGGGCTCTGAGGAAAAAATAAATTTCTTTGGAATGGCTTTTAAGCAAGGCTACTCACTTTCTTTGATAAGGGCTGCTCTGAACCTCGTCTCCATGAGAACCATGAGGACAATCCACCTTTCCCCTTTGCCATATGTTCTTTCATCATGCTTTCAACTTTCACCTAGTTGGAGAAACAACATTGTTTATGTTCAACTGTCTTCAGAATAAATTCATAATTAATAATTGAACGATGAAAAATGGATCCTAATAATAATGGATAACGGATCCTAATAATAATTATAATATGTGGCAAAGACAAGCCAAACCAATCACTCATCACAAATCGTGTTTCATAGATAATGACCAAAACATGTCAAAATTTTTGAAATCAACTTTATTGCACTAAACTAACCTTTATATATCTATACATCATGTTCTACTTTTATTTTCCCTATTTTGTTAAAACAAGAATTTTTAACAATTTGGTGATGTTTCTGCCAGAGAAATGCACAAAATCATGAACTTTGTACGATGATTTCTCAAATATTGTTCTTTAAACAGCTGTATGTTTAAACGCTTCTAACTTCATAAGGAAAAGTTGGATTTTAATGATTCTTTTACCATTTTATAGCTCTTATTTTACGGTTTAACCATTTATTACGCATTTACAGCCTTTATTACCCATCATACTTACAACCTTTATTACCCATTGTATTTACAGCCTATCATACTACTCCAAATAATGGCAGTAAGAGCAATAACATTCAGTGATTTTACCTCTGATTCTCTTCCTTCGTTTAACAAATTGAATTTGCTAGATGTTTTTAAATTACACAAATTATGTATCTCTTAATTTATGTTTGATCTCTATTATGATAAATTGCCTCAAGAGTTAAATGAATATTTTACACTTATCACGCATCCACATGAAACTAGGCAATCAGCTGAAAGCAGCCACTACAACTGGACAATTTTCAATTAGCTCTGTAGGCACCAAAATATGGAATGAAATACCAATACCAATATACATTCATAAAATTAAACACAGAAACACCTTCGAAACCAAATTCAAAGAATTTTCACTACAATAAAAGGCTGTTACTTTGATTTCCATTTCGATTTTTCTCTATGGTATGTTTTTAGCTTATTAATACTATTGTTATTACTATTATTGACGTGTTTATTTTAATTTACTATTAATTTGATTTCATAATATATTGAACTCGATAGGCATGAAGTTGCCTCTTTTCAACTCCTTTTATCTAAAGGATATGTTATTTCATATTTGTTTCCATTGTATATGTTTAAATTTTGTCTTTTGGATAATAAAGAAAGAAGGAGCGTATTAATAACTGTAAATCGATTTTTGCGACAAGTAACTGGTTTGGCTTGTCTATGCCACATATTTAAATTAGAATTTATTAAATATAAAATTTAAATAAGATAACCGAATGGGAAAAAAGGCAGAAGACTATTTGACTAACCTCAGGTAAAGGGCGTTGGAAGGCAAGGTATGAAATCAATAATGGGCCAGCAGCTGTCCAAGGGTAGTACTTCCCACCTATCCTTACCACTAGATTTGGGTTCTCCAATATCGCTGGGTTTTTGGTGAATTCATCATAACTTATAAGGGCCTGCGAAAAGGCCTCTGAAACAAGAGCAAATAAAAGTCAGTGATGACTCACAAAGTTTAGAGGGTCATAGTTCAAAAACTGATTATTAGTATACTTTCTTAACAAACAGTTTTTCTTTCAGTTAATGTTTATTATTTGCTGGTTTAGATTATGTTTTACTCAGTTCCTTTTGTGTATTGTGGAAAGTATTAGAGGAAAACATCATAAACCATTAAATTTGTTTGTTTTTTTAAAATCTCAATCACTTATTGTAAAGAATAAACAATAACTACATTGTTTAGTAACTAAAACAATAACTGTTCACAAAGTACAAAAATAAATGTTGCGTTTGCTAACATTTACACTCACCATGCGATATCTCTTCAGTTTCTTGAAGCCCACCACAAAGTGACATTGCAACGCTTTCCATGGTCATATGGGTGAACTCCCTAGCAGAGGGCGCTCCTTCCACAGAATTGGGTGACTGGGGCAGCGAGTTTCCTAGGTCCGAGGACTTGTCCTCATCTTTCACCTCTTGGATAGTACGTATCCTGTTAGATGGGATATGCTGAGCACTGCAACAATAAATCATAGAAAACATTGCAAATATTTCATTATTTAAATTGTATTAAATTACTAAATTGTCTCCTAGCCACCTTGAGTTCCACACTACAAAGGGTGGTGTAATTTCTTAAGCAAATTGATGAGTTAATCAATTAGAACTAAGTGAGTTGCTATATGTATTATATAGACTGTTAGGGGATTTAAGCAAATTAATAGCAGCAACCTTATTTAAATACGACTTCCTCCAACCAAATCTTTAAACATATGAAGATGAGACAATAATATGTAATGCTTAAAATATAAAAACAACAAGCATTACTTAAGGTAGAGAGCAGCAATTTCTGGATCTAATCCTTCTGAGTCGAGGTCATCAAGGTAGATGCCTTCTTCTAAGCTCTTGCTGTGTCGTATCTTCTTAGTACTCCTCATGAAGTTCATTATGCTCCACTTTGACCCACGCTTCTCGGCACTGTTCACTGAGCTCACATTCTCCTCCCCCTTTTCTTCTTCTTTTACCTTTTCGTGATCCGAAATTTGCTAAAAATGAAAAAAATATTGAAATAAGAATTAACATTGGAGCCTCTTGTGATTTATTAAAGCCAGCCACAAATGAATCAATGGTCATCAGCTGACGCAATTCCATGGAGAATGCAATGCGATAGGGGCATGTGTAATGCGACGGAACGCGTGCAGTGCGATGGGACATGATCGTTTTTAATAGCAATCTGCAATCAACAATCAGTATGTAATTTCCGAGATTGATTCGTCAATGGAACGTTGTATGACAATTTATGCAGTGTGTGCCCGGTGTTAGTAACATGCATAAATATAAGATGCTTGTTTCAGTTGTAGCAATGTTGAATCAGTAAATATTATATAATTTAATGTTCATTTCCATGCTAAATTATTCAAATTTATTAGCAATGTAAATTCACACAACTGCATTCAAAATAATATTTGCTTTCCTGCTTTGGATGATTGTGAATTAAGTGTAAGTAAATCGCAGAAATGATGAAATCATATCTTAATTTAATATCAACTTGAAAGGTTTAAAAAGTATTTAAATTTGAGTAAACTGGCAGAAATGGGAGGCCCGGGTAAGTGGGCAAGAACCCTGAGGTCTGAAATTTTGTAGGAGTTGCAAGAGTCTCACAGCAAAAACAAGGCAGTCCCACGATTATCTCAAGCAATGTTACCGAAGTGATTTAAGACACACAGCCATCCAGGTAAGTGTTGTTTTCAGTAAATGTAAACACAATATTTAATTATTTTTGAACATTTAACAAAGAATCCACAGCGGAGTTGACGATTGGACCGGTTGCACTGTAATAATAAATAAATGTGGTGCAACAGTCTTGTATGAATTACGTTTTTAATAACAGCACATTAAATGTTTTTATCCTGTGCACACAGTGTAAATTATGAATGTTATGATCAATACCCCGGTATCAATATGTACGTAAGTATCTATGATTAATGACAATATTATTATGAAAAATGAATCTCCAGCAATATCTTTCATTTATTAATTTAGTAAAAGAGAAAGCAATACCAATTTTACATATATATTTATATTGAGCATAACATAAAAATGATGATGCATGAGTTTCAAGATAGATTTGGTGTGGACAGATATGAGCATGAAGTTTTTAGTACCTCCATGCAGGACAAATCAAAAATAAATTGTTCAAATTTATTTATTTTGGTTTGTAAGACATGAAGAGACAATTTGGTTGTTAATACCTCACGGAACTGACTTCCCACAGATGATTTCAGCTAAAGAGAAAAGGACAAGACAAAGGACAATCTTCACTTATATTCTACAGTGTAATGCAATGTCGAGTGACATGTAACTGATTGATCAATATGCCACTGATTAAATATTCCAAAAAATAGAACAAATTGTAAACTTATTATTACTTTTCTCACAAAATTTGATGCTGTTTTGTGATTATTTTTACTAATACACAGGATTTAAGTTTGTTGTGACAATTGGGTCAAAGAAAAATAGTATGCCTTAACAAGCCATACAAGATATAATTTACATAATTATAGCAGCATTATGTATATACATCACCAGCATCGCTGACATTGCACATAAATCAGCATCTAATAGCCAATCTGGTTGCAGCATTATTTGTGCTAATTCAATGCATTTCAAATGGTTTGAAAATTAATTCTATTTTAGAATTAAAAACATGTAAACTCAATATTAGGAGTCACTTTTATTATACAAACATGTGAATAAAACTAAAGTATTGGCCATCTACAAAATTTGCTTTCAATAGAGATGATGTACAGACTTTTGTGAAGATTACAGCAACATTCACTAACATGGCAACATTTAAAAAAAATCTTGTTATGGAAAATGTCATCTTATGATTAAAGGTATTCCATGAATTTGTGTCCATTTAAGTTGCATTTTTCAAATATTCAAATACTCTTTAAAAATATATAACAAAACAAATTTGCTTGCAATAAAATGTTTTAGGTGGCATATTGTATTTTATCAATAGGTAAATCTACAAAGTTCATTAATATTTCCAGGTGTTTAACATCTAGTAATAATTGCATCACTGTAACATTCATCCTAATATTTTCACTTATTCTCAACAAGTTTAAATACATCTTCAGGTTACAGCTGCACTACATACCTCAGGAAGTTCACCCCAGTTCCATTCCAGTTTGTCGCCCTCCTCCCCCTGCACCTCTCGTTGCAACTCTGCCTCTGTATCACTCTTTGGGCTTGGTGCTCTTGTTTGAAGAGGACTAATAAAGAACAAAATATAATCTTTGACATATTTTGTATGTTGGAATGTGATATTGTCAGGATTGAACATATTCAGAAAGATTTCACTAGGTATTATTGAAATATAAAATTCAACATTTAAATTTTTTTACAATTTAAGTTTTTATCGTTCAATTGCAGATTAGAATGAGAAAACATTTTTTTTTTACCAATTAGCAGTTATAATATAATCATTGTTTTTATAGGGCCTTAAATTGGTAATCAATTTTAGAATTCTTGTAATAAAAAGTGTGTGAAAGCTGTACTTTCCCCTCTGGGGCTACAAAAGGTACAATAAAATACACCATACAAATATTGACTGCTCATGAGGTGATATTGCCCTGAGGTGATGTGGACACCATACCCTACTATCTTCCCTGAGGCTCAGGATGATAGTAGGCTACCGTCGTCTTATCATCACTGAGCCGAGCCTATAGATTTCACCGTCCCCAAATCTAGAATTCTTCGAGGCCTTAACAAAGTAAGGAAACGAATGCTCGCGAAGTAGTCCTAGCCTAAGCCTACCTACTCCTACCCTATGCGGTCAAAGCGTCAGTCTATCTTGCCGTAGAAGTTGCAGACCTCTCGTCCGTGAGTGTCATAAACTACACAGAGACAATACCTACGTCATCGGAGTGATACAGTAGTTGAAGTTATTACTCAATGCCTGGAATCTCTGTGTGTGGTATTTAATAAATATCAATAAAATATATAAGTATACCTGTATAGTTGACAATTACCTGACGATAGGTGTGGCATCATTGTCAGAGAAAGGGTGGAACTCTGACCTCAGTGGTTCATCAAGGAATTTAGACCAATCATCTGAGTCTATGTAGCTACTGCTTGTCATTTTTTTAACTCTTGTAAAAGATGATGTCTCTTCATTATCCGAAAAATCATCCATTTTAAAGATTTCATCATCTGAATGTCTAGATACGCTTGATTCTGAGTTGGCATTGCGTCGTTGAAAGCTTTCTGATGCTGCATTTCGTTCCTTTTCACTCTTTCTTCTTTTCCTTCGTACTTTATCTTTCATTGTTGATTTTTCATGTTCATCAACCAGAGGGGATATTTTGTTTCTTCGTATGCTTGATTCGTCGTCCATACTTGAGCCACTTCCACAGTCCCCTTGATGAACAGCAATGGCGGAAAGAACTTTGGATCCAGTTTTTTTTAAACCACCCGCTCCCGTTTCACTTTCTACTGTTATTTCTATAGGTTTGCCAAATTCCTTTTCTGCTACATAAGACATAGGGGCTGGTTCTTTTATTCCTGCTACTAGTCTGTCTATGTCCAAGTCATTGACATTTGATGCTGCATCATCTTTGGAAGATGTAGTTTGCATATTTCCGAGTAGTTCATGATTGACTTCTGAGTGCATTTTCTTCAACCCTTTTTCCATGAATTCAACTGATGATGGAATCGGTGAGGTTGCCAGGTTTGCTGGCAAAAACTCCTGGAGATAATCAAAATAGACATTGTAGAAATAATAGTGAGTGTTTATATGCTACAAATCGATTGATCTGATCTGTGCCCTGTGCATTATAAATATTACTATTATTATCATAGTGCTTTACAAAAGTAATCAATATTATAAACGGTCCAAGAGTACAGTATATTTTTAATTGTTTAGAGTTTGAAATATAATGAGCAAGACCCTCATATAACAAAAACCATGTCATTCATAAATATTATTATTATCGTAGTGTTTTACAAAAGCAATCAGTATTATAAACAAATGGGCCAAGAGTACATAATTGTTTAAAGAGTTTGAAATATCATGAGCAACACCCTCACCTTATATAACCCCTCACTTGTGGAATGATGTGAACATATAGCTAAATATAAGCGCCTCTTATGGCGCTAGGTAGTCACGAACCACGGCCAATTCAGCACAATGATGCTGCGAGTTATAGGTTATTCTCCTAACCTTACCCTTCAAACAACCTTATTCCATTTTATAGCAAAATTAAAAACAAAAATTCTAAAACAATTCAAAACATACTAACCTCGCTAGACATTTGTTCAACAAAAAAGGCTTCGCCATTTTCTCCCAGTTTCATTTGTAAGTCCACCGGTTCACCATTAACTTCTATGTCAACCTAATGTCCAAAGCCATAAAATATAGTACAGTATTTATCATTCTTGTTTCGATAATAAAGATCTATTGTATTCAAACAGCGATTTCTTTTTACTAACAATGTCATAAATATATATTTATGATCATTTGTTAAAATGAATGAACTATTTTTCAATTAGAAATCAAAATTGAAATTATATATTAACAAAAATGCCAATGAGTAAAGTACATATACAGCATGGTCATAAATGAAATAATAATGGTGTCCTTATCTTATCATTGCAATACAAACAACCATCATAACACAAATATGACATCTATTCATAACCACTAAAGATCTTTTTTATCATATTTGAGATAAAACACCCACATGATTTGTTAAGGACAATGCAACAATATTGATCAATTTGTAGTAGTTCTACACACTTTCAGTAATTCAGGTGAACACACCTTCCTTCTGATCAGTGAACTCTGTTTTATCATGATTGCACAATAAATAATAAAATACTCTAGGATGTGACTAATAAATAGATTTCTTTTTTTATGCATTATAACAACAGCAATTATAGATTGGATTCGAATTACTCGTTGGGAACATGAAGGATAAGTCATGAAAGTCCAAAGATTATTTCCTGTGGGATGTTTTAGATGATGGTTGAGCAAAGTATACCAGGGGTCAACACCCTACTCTTTCCAGAAGAGTTTAATGCGTTCATTAATGTGGCAATATTGAACAAGATAACAACAGCTTAAATGTCTCACAAGGGCTGAAATGATTTAATTTCAGCCCTACAGCTGAAACACAAGGGGAGTAGCAGGTTGAATTAAACTGAGTATCGAAGGTTAACAATGAACATCCATGGTTCACCGCACATATTGTCGCTACCACCACTTTAGCCAACTGAGCTATGTTGCATAATATACGAATGGAGTTTGTTTTTAGAAATTTGTGGGAAAATGTCCCAGTAGAGTTCCACTGCAGTATCTCATGGTTAATAATCCTGAATTCCAAACAAGCTCAAATCCAATGATTGGCTCAGGTATAATGAGTGAACACAAACAATTGAAACTCTCAACTTCATATACATTGTAATACCATACCACTTTTTCTTTGCTACGGAGTACGCCCATCTTGCCGAAGCGCACATGGAAGGGGGAGCACTGGTAACTGCCATCTTCCTGCTGGACGACAATCACGTCAATGGCACCAGTTAATGTAGCAGGGTTGATCTCATTGTACATGTACTTGACATTTGATAATAATCGACCTACATAGTTCATGACTGCAGGTACTTTAATCGATCTCCTAAAAAAACCCAGAAAAATAAGACAATAAATGGATTACACTTGAAGTTCATGTTTCTGTTAGTGTTCAACAATTATAATAGGCTTTAAACACTTAGTTTTCATTGGCTGACTAAAAATGTAATCATTCACTTAAAAATTATTTTAGTCATCAAAAAACAAAGAGAAAATAAACAAACTGAATATTTAAAAAACAGACACCATTTAAATATGGGACAAAAAAATTAATATTACGATAATTAAAACAAGTTACAGCAAAACATATTAAAGGCTTGACACAGCAGCATAGTATTGTGTATTGTCAGCACTACTGTGTAATATATTATACACAATTTGTAAATTGTTGACAATAAATATTATAGACTAACCTGATAGTAGGGGCCTTTACTGACTGCAGAGGCTTACTATTGTAGGCTAGCCTTGACAAAACCTATTTGTGATGATGTGATCAAAGTGCACATATTGGCTGTGAATTTTACATTTATAGAATTTTTGTGCTCTGTGTACACACTTGATTTTCAATCTTCTACCTTTACAGTACTGTAAGTTTCAAGTTACATAGTTCGGATTTTAATTTGTATTTAAAATATATAACATTTGTCATTGTAATACAATTCTATGACGATTATTGATTTTAAGTAAAAAATCTTGAACTCAATATTATTTTTTTTTTATAATTTAAATTTTTAAACAATTGAAAGTTCATTTTTCTGGTACAACACAAAAATGAAAGTAAAGTTGTTCCAAATAATCGGCCATTCTTGATAATGGTATTGGTAATCAAAAATGTCTCAAAAGTAAACATCTACTAGGCCTGCTTACAGTACAGTATGTTACCAGTAATTATTCTATTGTTTATGGGCTACTGTAAAGGGTTAAAACACACTTATCCTACAAATCTTCTTGACCTCAATATGAAAACTACAGTAGATGCCTAAGCCATGCACTCACACAGGAAGTGTAAGCTAAAACATGTCTGTACTAAAGTTCATATACAGTATTACAAAACAATGTCAATGTAAACTTACTTTACTGCATAAAAATTTGGGCCACCCACTGAAAGCAGATATTTCTTCCATAGTAATAATTGTGGCCTATCAAATTGTGAATGACATTTTCTTAATGAATAATCAATGTCACATTTTTTACACCATAGAATACTGTACAATAGAAAATCCCCAAATAAACCTCTTTAAAATTA